AATTAGTCCCTCCACGAAAGACATAGTAATTCGATCACTGATTTCCCTGGAGGTCAAACCCCGAAGAGTCATTAAAGAGACTGATTTTTTCACTACTGCCTACAGCCGAAGACTATCGAATTCGCCAGCCTCGAGCTGATTACAAAAGACCTGGGTTATGTGACAGTATACGAGAACCCTCCCCTCATAATAAACAAGAACCTATCTGCCTATCTTATCCAGTATGGCCAGACTCTAGGTGCGACTTTTGACAACCTGAACAGGGGATGGAGTTTTGATATCATGTCTGATCGTTTAGCCGTCGTGTCCCTCGACTCTTTGAGCTTTTGCGGCCGGAAAATACTGGTAATCGTAACGGCAGAACACCAACTTGCTGGAATTGTGCAAAGACTGTTCACCTCTCTTCTTTCTGTCCAGAGAAGAAGGCCTCTGGACTTCCGCCTGCAGGCGATCCAAATCCCCCACCGGCCGATCCTGATTGTCCCGCGGCGCCTATAGTGGGCCTACCAATGACACAGAGCAATGCGGACAAATCCTCAGTTGGATACCATACCACATTCCTCTAAAACCCGACGCCTCATGCAAGTCAGTAATTACTTGATCAGTAATCGTGGCTAGATAAGTTTACGATAATACAGATTAAAGGCCAGCTTTCCTCTAATCCCTCTTTGGCCGTTGGCCACATTTATGTTTTTAAAATAAACATTCATCTATGATACCTATACTTTATGAATTTAAGCGGAGTACAAGATTGGTAACAAGGTCTCATCACTTTACTGTTGAAATGGCTACATGTAACCGTAAGTTCTATGCTAATAGTTTCTTCTCTTGCATTTCTCGCTAGTGGAACTTTCTAATGCCTTCTTGCTTCCCTGACAATTTTGATCTTCAAAAATTTAAATGTAATGTCAGTCGTTAGCTTCTTAATTTTTTGTTCTCTCTCTCTCCCTCTCTCTTTCATAATGTTTTCTTTTTTTCATATTCTCTCACACTCAGTAACTCCTCGAGTCTTAGTGACTCTATTGCCTTGCTTCGGATGAAATGATTAAAAAAAGTCCACACCTTAGTAAATCTATCCTAAACTGCGAATCGTCGTAAACCCAACACCTCATGTGGCACAATCTAGCACATCTGTAGATAGCATACTTAATTAAATCCATCTTAATTGCGACAAATTATGTATGTTTTTACTCTGATATTTCTATATATTTTCTTAATACAAGGTTAACATCGTCACATTTTCAATAGCAACCGATACACTATAATCCACACCTATTTCATCTTGATAACACCAAATTAATAATATTCATTAATCTGATAATGTTATATAACCTCATGCTAATCTGATAATGACTTATAACCTAATTCTAATCTCAATAATGTGATATAACCTAATGCCAATCTGATAATGAGTTATAACCTAATGCTAATCTGATAATGACTTATAACCTAATTCTAATCTCAATAATGTGATATAACCTAATGCCAATCTGATAATGAGTTATAACCTAATGCTAATCTGATAATGAGTTATAACCTAATGCTAATCTGATAATGAGATATAACCTAATGCTAATCTGATAATGTGATATAACCTAATGCCAATCTGATAATGAGTTATAACCTAATGCTAATCTGATAATGTGATATAACCTAATGCTAATCTGATAATGAGTTATAACCTAATTCTAATTTCAATAATGTGATATAACCTAATGCCAATCTGATAATGTGATATAACCTAATGCTAATCTGATAATGAGTTATAACCCTATTCTAATTTCAATAATGTGATATAACCTAATGCCAATCTGATAATGAGTTATAACCTAATGCTAATCTGATAATGTGATATAACCTAATGCTAATCTGATAATGAGATATAACCTAATGCTAATCTGATAATGTGATATAACCTAATGCTAATCTGATAATGTGATATAACCTAATGCCAATCTGATAATGAGTTATAACCTAATGCTAATCTGATAATGTGATATAACCTAATGCTAATCTGATAATGAGTTATAACCTAATTCTAATTTCAATAATGTGATATAACCTAATGCCAATCTGATAATGTGATATAACCTAATGCTAATCTGATAATGAGTTATAAATTCTAATTTCAATAATGTGATATAAAATGCCAATTGATAATGAGTTATAACCTAATGCTAATCTGATAATGTGATATAACCTAATGCCAATCTGATAATGAGATATAACCTAATGCTAATCTGATAATGTGATATAACCTAATGCTGATAATGAGATATAACCTAATGCTAATCTGATAATGAGATATAACCTAATGCTAATCTGATATAACCTAATAATGATAATGAGATATAAAATGCTAATCTGATAATGTGAATAACCTAATGCTGATAATGAGATATAACCTAATGCTAATCTGATAATGAGATATAACCTAATGCTAATCTGATAATGTGATATAACCTAATGCTAATCTGATAATGAGATATAACCTAATGCTAATCTGATAATGTGATATAACCTAATGCCAATCTGATAATGAGTTATAACCTAATGCTAATCTGATAATGTGATATAACCTAATGCTAATCTGATAATGAGTTATAACCTAATTCTAATTTCAATAATGTGATATAACCTAATGCCAATCTGATAATGTGATATAACCTAATGCTAATCTGATAATGAGTTATAACCCTATTCTAATTTCAATAATGTGATATAACCTAATGCCAATCTGATAATGAGTTATAACCTAATGCTAATCTGATAATGTGATATAACCTAATGCTAATCTGATAATGAGATATAACCTAATGCTAATCTGATAATGAGTTATAACCTAATTCTAATCTCAATAATGTGATATAACCTAATGCTAATCTGATAATGAGATATAACCTAATGCTAATCTGATAATGTAATCTAACCTAATGCTAATCTCAATAATGTGATATAACCTAATGACAATCTGACAATGTGATATAACCTAATGGTAATGTTGAAAACGGTTATGGTAATGATAATTGTAATGTTTAAAAAGGTAAAGGTAAAATTAACCGTTTCCATGCAGGAAACATGTGTTATTCATATAACGATAACTTCGTGTTCTTGTCGCTTGAAATTTAAAAGGTCTTTTTTCTTAAACCTGTTCTTCAGGGAACTAAGCTTCTCAAGTCCACAAACTGTTATCGACGTTTCTATTATTGATGGAAGTTTCCTTCCAAATCTTTTGTTTAAAGTAATGTAAGAGTTAACAGCTTCATTATTTCATCATTTTCTCTTCCAGTTACATGCGATACTCATTTTAGTTGTTGCTACTGTTGAAAGAGTTATTTGGTAAAGCTGTTTGTGATTCTGTAGCGTGAATATATATGATCTGATGAAGCAGAGTCATCTGTAAGATTTATTGGATTAATTCGTTTGAAGTCATTTTAACGATTGATCTGACAAGACAGATGATATTTTAGGCATCTCTGAATAAGTTAGACGCCATGCATGACATCCATATGAAAGATTATATCCAATAAGTTTATTTAAGAACATGACTCAAATTTTCATGTCAATATTTTAGATTTGTATCATCTTACAGTGTTGGACAAAAGTAACCCTGGCGTAACCTATCCTCTGTATAACGTTTCTATCGTCTATACAAAAAAAAACTTATAATTTGTTTAAAATATTAATTAAAATATTAGTTAAAAGGTTTAGAATTTATCAATTCAAAATTCTGAATTTTTTCCGATGGATTTATGGAATTTAAATATGGTGTGTTTGCATATTGTATGTTTGTGCAGGTTCACATGTGACCAATTAAAGAAAAAATATAAAAAAATTTGGACAGTTTATTCTCTGTTTTTTACATAAACCGTAGTGAAACAAAATGTTCAATATCTCCTATCCGTGTTTTTTCTGGTTCAGAAATTAGCGTAGTAAGTATAATTCATGATTATAATGATCGAACTCAACTCAGCGTTGCTCTTAGTTGGAACACCCAAAGAAAAGGTTGATTTACATCATAGGTGAATGGAAGACACGTACGAACTATATGCGCTGGCAAGTGGAAAGAGAGAGTAAAGTTGACAGTGGACTGGGAATACAAACTTGCACTAACGGGGACGTACTCCCCTGCATGCTACTACATCTGAAATCAAGGGGGAGGAAAAGAAAAAGGAAGGAAATATTTGTCTATTAATAGACTCAAACGGCACCACCTATGGGCGTTTGACGAATCCAAGTGGTGTAATCAAATTTATTACTAATATGGGAATAGGGTTTTTATTTTCCTTTTTTTTTTCTTTATTATTATTTTACTTATTGATTTTATTCCATTTCCCCACAGATTCATGGTAGGTTCTATCACTGATGTCGTTCCAATTTCAAATCGTAATATCTGTTTTCTAAAGGTTTATCTATAGTAATAATTCTTTGAGCACTTGGTAAGGAATATTGATTTTTTATTCAAGATCATTCTTATACGATGAATACCTATATCATCAGCATATCCCCTCATTGTCGGTAAACTGGTGCCAGAGGGAAAACAAAAGTTTTGGTTTCGATCATATTCGTTTTGAATACGGCAAGGTATGAATTATAATGCACAAATACAACCGCCAGATTTACAAGACTAAATAATTCACTTCCATTTACTTCTATCTTGTTAATAACAAATTACATATCAGAAGTATTATGGTACAGACTCCTACAATACAATAAGAACGGAGATCATGTCGGAGCTTAACCGCGTAAATTAGTGAAAGTTATATGACAAGTGCTGAAAGTATAACGGTATACATAATGGCGAAATAACTTTGATAGTATTCATGGATTATTATAAACTCATTTCCATTGCCGATTATATCATTATTGACTGAAGAGAAGAATTAAAATGGGAACCAGGACCTGCCGAATGAAGAATTGAACCTGTTACTGTTTCATGAAATTTTACTCCTCAAAGCTTAACAAAAGATTTTTCTCATTTATTTACTTATCTATACCAGTCTGACGATAAGTAGTTTTCTTATATTTCACTCATTATCTATCTATCTATCTATCTATCTATCTATCCAATTCTAAATCTGTTCAGATTGTTTTTCTCTTTACCCTCTTTCTCCCTTTCTCTCTTTTTTTCTCTCTTATATATATATATATATATATATATATATATATATATATATATATATATATATAACAGTTAGTAGTCTGAGTTGAATTACACCAGGAAACAGTTGTATTTAAATATGGTCAATACACGTAGGAAAATAGAATAAAAACTTAACATTCAGAGCTGTTAAATTTTAAAATTTAAAAGAACAGCCAATCAAGCCTGAAAGCTTGAAACCAAGGTAACGTAACGTGGGTGGTTGGATGATCTTCTAATATATATATATATATATATATATATATATATATATATATATATATATATATATAAAAGACATTTTATGTTTATACGTTCTTTTCATAGATACAAATATTTATAATGTTTGATTATAATAAACAGTATTAACATTTACCGGCCTGAATGTCCGGTAAATGTTGTTAATACTGTTTATTATAAACAGAGTATTTACTTAAATATTTGTATCTATAAAAAAACGTATAAACATAAAAAATGTCATTAAAAATAATTGTCGGACTTTGTCCATTTCATATATATATATATATATATATATATCACATTATCTTCTTTTCTGCCTTTGAAGGTCCTTTATGGGTGTATTCCTCCCCCAGATTCAAGGAGAGGAATGGACCATTGCGCTACATCGCTGACCCAATGCAAGGCAGATGTGACACGCATGGGCGAGAATCTCCCTTCGATTCATAATCGTCCAAGTGCATTTCCGTGGAGGAACATAACGAATCAGACTGGAACTGGAACTCGGCTCTCTGATTTCTCATCCCGAGCCATTACCCATTACACCACCCGCACATCCAATCTTACAGTATCAGGTATTCACAAGTAGTCACCCATGTAGGTACCAGGCTCAACGTTGCTTAACTTCGGTGATCAGATGAAAACCGGTGTTTCGACGTGATATGACAGTAATCCTATCGTATTATAAACATACCTAAATCTGTTCACATCTCTAAATTATGTGCCTCTCTTTATATCTATATCAGTTTCTTTTTATCTATATATCTACGTGCCTTTGAGCACGTGTGGTGCAATTTTTAGCAAGCTTGTCTCACCATATCAATTACTACTGAGGAGTGAGTTCGATCCTTTGTAGGTGCTTTATACTTTCGGCCTTGTGCCACATTCTGACTTGACCTCTTTGAATGTAACTGAGATATTGATACAAATTATTAACCCTTACGCCCCTTTTTTTAAAATAATTGCTCTTGCCGTTACCATAGTAATTTTAATTTCAATATTAAATATGCTTATAAAACGCGTAAATTTCGGGAATTAGTTATTCAAAAAAAAAATTTCGCATGAAGATGGAACAGAGCTTGGTACTTTAATTCAATTTAAAGCAAATAATTACATTGAAGTTTTCGGCTCTTGTTTTGAAACATGAGAACTCTTATGTAGCGATGGAATCATATTTTTTCATAAAAATGATTATATATATATATATATATATATATATATATATATATATATATATATATATATATATGCTTGCTTATCTCATCCTTGATGTACAAGTAGCGTAATGGTGCTCGGCATTCGGAGAGTGAAATTGGCCTTCCGAGATCAAATACCAGCTAAAGCCGTCGCGTCCTCCAATTTTAATGAATAAGAAGCAGACATGCAAATATCCAAGAACTTTCACTCTCACGATCATGAGTCCTGAAATCAGTGTAGAACGTTGAGCGACCACATGTACTGCAGCTGTAGTAGCAGTGAATGTGTCTAGGGTAAAATAACCTGACGAAGCCCATCCCTCTTCTGACTGATTCTGAATTCAGACTTGTCCTTTTAAGATGATAACCTAAAGGCTACACACAGGTCCAGTTTACATCTGACGGAAAAAAGCTACACATAGTTCCTGTTCACAGTGCCGTAAATATCTTAAAATAGATCCAGTTTGCGTTCGAGACAATAAGATAAGATAGAGGATCGATCTACAGTCCAATTAAAAACCTGACGTAGGTCCAGTTTACAGTGGTCTAAATGTGCACATAGGTACGGTTTACATGAGAGTTTAAAAAACTAGACATAGATCTCCTTTACATTGTGTAAAGCGGATCTATGTCAATCCAAGATATAGCAACATTTGTCTATATCTTGTGTCAAGATTTAGACAAAGTTATAGTTTACAAGAGAGTCTGTAGCGGGCACTCCGTGCGGCCCCGTATCACAGAAAGGGGTGAACGAGGTCACAAGAGGCCCGCTCACATTTTTGAAGACGTTAAATCTGACGATGAAACAATATAGACGACAGAACGAGGATATGTATGATAAATGCTAATTTATTCAGGGAAAGGAAAAGGAAATAAAGATGGTCGGAACGGTGGAGGTGCAGAAGTTTTAGTGCAGGCATTGATGGCCGAGGTTGGTGTTGGTAGTTGCTAGGATCATCGTTGTTGGGGGTTGAAGCTGATGTGGGTTGTTGCCAGGATGATCGCTTGGTGGTTGTTGAAGTTGATGTTGGTTGATGCCAGGATGATCGTTGTTGGTTGTTGAAGCTGAGTCGTTGCCGGGGTGCCAACTTGACGTGTTTGTCGTTGCCGGGGTGCCAACTTGTTGCTGTAGTTCGTGTTGCCAACATGTTGTTTGTCATTGCCGGGATGCCAACTTGACGTGTTGGGAAGGAGAGAGAGAGAGAGAGAAAGAAAGTTCCCAACTATCGTCAAGTTGGCAGACAAAAAAATGGGAGCGTAACTTAATACACAGCCCGTTGATCGGCGTCCTTTGCCAATGAAGGCCAAGGGGCCTGCGTAGTCGACCGTTTCCGGTCGCCGACTGCCTCCAAGAATCTAGCGAGAAATCACTGTCTTGTGACGAGGGAGACCAGCAAGAGAAATTGGCTAAGCTAACCGAAAAGACTCTATAATAAAATACTACGAGGTTAGCTAAAGAGAACTAAGGTCTAAAAATGACAAGTAGTATATTACAACTAGGTTTGTAATATAACCTAAGGGGATTTGCTAGTCCCTCCGACGTGTTAACAGTGTGTAAGGAGCATGAATGAGAGGTCAAGGTCGAAATGACCTGTTCCTCTGCCGGTTCAAGGATAGAAGGAGGAGGTAACTCCGACAAGTCAAAAACCACATGTGGATCTAGTTTAAATTAGTGTCAAAAAAGATACCTATAAGCCCAATTTACACTCAAAGTAGAAAGACATACGTCCGGTTTACACGTGAGTCAAAAGAACTACATATAATCCGGTTGGTTTTATATCCTACTTTTAAGTAAATATAGACCATAAATAATGTTCACTCTTTCTCGATTTATGCTATTTATTAATGATCAAAATTAAAATAGTTTCCAAGTTTCGATAAAAAGGACCTATAAGATGACGAAAAACAAACAAATGAGCAATGAAAATATTTAATCTTAGCAATTTGAAAAGCATCCGAATGTTAAATAATTGACTAACTGTTTTTTTGCGAAAGAATGCTTCTACATGACTAGATTCGAATGCCGTCTGCCGTTTGATAAGCTGTGACGCCGGCAAGGTGTCATCCATGCTATTCAGGATGTATGACTAATAAATATATCAACAGCGCCTCCTCTGGGCGTGTCACTTGCCCAGAATGCGACCCCCGCGTATCACCCTAAGAGGTTACGCGGTGGACAGAAACGATGCTTCAAGGGTCAGTTGAAGACAACCTTGACACAGACTAAGATCGACCCGATTTGAAGGCCGATTTGCAGCAACGGTTTCCCCGGTTTCAAACGGGAAACCGTTGCAAACCGGCCTTCCTGGCATAGGAACATACGAGAGAGGGGGGGGGCGATACTTTTTACTCCAACCGTCAATATGAAGAGGATCAGCGTTTATAACGTGATGCCAAGAGGATCCGACTCGCCCAGCAGCGTCCATCATCCACACTCCTCTATACTCCTGTATCTCCACCCGCCGTAGAGTATAGGGACACAGATTGACTACGCTAGGTGTTACTGATGTGAGTACAGTAACGAGTAAGGTTTTTTTTACATGGTGAAGTTGCTATCAACACAGCCAAACGGTTGAGAGGTGGAGAGCCCAAGCTGGCCTGCTATTAACCCATAACTTAAAGACATGGGTCTATTCATTTCCAAGTTATTTGTGCAAAAGCAAACGCAATGGACTTGGCCGGAATTCGAACGTCATACAAATGGTGCTTTTCTCACTGGTGACCGCCACGCGCATGTCACCAGAGAGAACGCAGGATACAAATTAAAATCTTCGAGCAGGCCGTTTTTCCTTTTAAGTTGCTTACTTAACGCTCATAGTAAGTATACTTATCTTACTCTACTTATACTTACTCTAAAGTTTCGATGAAAAGCAACAAAAATAAGATGGAGAATAAACTAGCCAAAATTAATCAAGCAGATATGATCCGCATGTTTATAATTTCCGGCTAAGCCAATTCAATTATTCCAGTATCAAATATCTCCAACCTAAATTAGAGTGACATCATTAGCCAGCAGGGTTCTGCTCTTCGGAAAACGTGCTATTGAAGAGCATTTAATCAATGTTGGCTCATAAAGACGTCGTCTCGAAGGACATCATTATTCGGTGAATATGTGAATCCCCTTTGAAACAAATTAGATTAGGTGTTCCATTGATTCTCAATGGCCTAAACTCTATTTCAATCGTAAAAACACGCGGAACAATTAGAGATAGATAGATAGATAGATAGATAGATAGATAGATAGATAGATAGATAGATAGATAGATAGATATGAACAGAGCGAGACTGATTAAGTTAACGATAGATAGATAGATTTAGTGAGCGATAGATATATGTTGAGCTTAAATTATTCTTAATTAAGGCTTACGGCCACATCACGTTAAAACAGCGGTTCCAGTATGATAATCGAAGTTAAGCAACGTTGAGCCTGGTCAGTAGATATGTTACTGCTTGTTTAATTAACCCAAACGGTTAACACATATAAGCAAAGGAAATCATTAACAATATATTTTATTTCTTTTGGTTCTTTAAGGATTGATTCAAATAACAAGATGTTCAGTTTTTAAGCAGTGATGTAATTTACCGCCATATTGATATACACTGTTGATATACCAAACATTTTATGTTCCATGTCATTTCAGATCATCCCAGACCTGAATTTGACTCCGGCTTACCATACTATCACTAATGTTAAGCAACGTAGAACCTGGTCAGTACCTAGATGGTTGACTGTTTGGGAATACCAGGTGCTGTAAGCTTGGATGTGCGGGTGGTGTCCTGGCTCTGAATTAATATAATTATCAGAGTGACGAGTTCGAGTTCTAGTTGGGATCGTTATATTCACCTACGCGTAAAAACCCCTGGGAAAGTTATGAATTCACTGCTTCTCAACACCCGCACCCCCACACCTAGCTAGGGGTTAATTATTAAGTCTTGTATCGCTAAACCATTATGATCCCAAAAATCTTCTTACAATCTAAAATTATTTTCTGGTTTTAAATAAGCTGCACATGGGTTGATAAACCGTAAAAGCGTATCAATCAATAATTCAGGATACAAGAATAAATATTATGGGACATCTGGTAAAGAACGAACTGACTTTATTAGAGAATAAAATTATACCCTCCCCCATTTATATATGGTTATATCTGATATATATTATAGCGGCACATGAACGTTCGCTTTCTCACCATGAGAGCCGTGTTCGAATCTCACCATGGCAGATTTGTTAGGAAGGTGACTTTTTGATGTTCTCATCCTGGGGAATGCGATCCTAACGTTCCTGAAAACTATACAATGGATGAAACTATTTGGGAGCCGTTGATGGTTATGTTAGCACGGAGTCACAAGTCATCGTTACCGAGAGTTTGATCGTACTGGCATTGTTCAGTCTGTTGATCGCGCCAGATAATACGCTCTCTACCAGAAACTGTAACTAAGGTTCGCACAGCTCATGCGGGCTCTGTGGGTGT